TAATTATGTTATTCTATATGTGCGTCCAAGTTTTGTTTTTATTGACAAATGCTTTATTACAATTATTTGTGCTTAGGTTTTCCCCCTCCTTGTTATTGCTTTATGTAATAGCTTACCATAAATAAAATTACTAAGATGAATTAAGAAAATGGGACATCTAATACAGCTGTCTTAATCTCTTCAAAATGTCAGTGTCATATGGGTACAGGTAGGAGGATTGTCATAAAATGAGACTAAAGAGGAATAGTAGCCAAAAGCAGTGCTCAGATTTTGACTGGCCTTGATTTGAAAAGAAAATCTAATTAATAAAGATACTTTTAGACAATAGATAATATTTTAATATGGAATAAATATTAGATGAGATTATAGATTTATAGTTAATTTTGTTAGGTATGATAATGGTATTAAGGTTATTTATTTAGGAGAATGTTTTTATTTTTAGGTTACATATGTTGAAGTATTGAAATTGTTTCATATTAACAACTTATTCTCCAATGTTTCATCCAAAAACGTCTATATATTCATTAATCTATGTACACACATAGAAGAATACATGGATTGAGAGTAGATAAATAAAAAAATGATACATGTTAACAGTTGTGATTCTATGTGTTGGGGATAGAGGTGACCTTTATTATTCCAGACTTTCAATTTACTTGACATTCTTTATAATAAAATGTTTGGAAATAAATGAAGTAACTAAATCAAATATTACTAATATTATTTATTTCCAAATCACTGTCTAAAATAATAAAGTATTGTTTTGAAAGGTACTTTTTAGTACATTCATTAAAAAGTGGCTGGGTGGGGTGGCTCACGCCTGTAATCCCAGCACTTTGGGAGGCCAAGGTGGGTGGATCACGAGGTTGAGAGATCAAGACCATCCTGGCCAACATGGTGAAACCCCATCTCTACTAAAAATACAAAAAAATTAGCTGGCGTGGTATTGCACACCTGTAGTCCCAGCTATTTGGGAGGCTGAGGCAGGAGAATTGCTTGAACTCAGGAGGCGGAGGTTGCAGTGACCCGAGGTCGCCACTGCACTCCAGCCTAGTGCCTGGTAAAGGAGTGAGACTCTGTCTCAAAAAAAAAAAAAAAAAGGAAAGTATGTAGCTCCATGAGTAAGCGATCAGCTCCACCATCAGTTAGAGGGGATTTTTCATTTTCTTCACCAGTGCTGAGTGGAATGACCTCAGGCAGACTTTCAAGGTCTCAGTTGTCTTATCTGTAAAATAAATGAAAATAAGAATGGCTATTTGATAAGGTTGTTGTAAAAATGAAATTTATATTATCTATAAAACCCTTAGCTCAGTACCTGGCAAATAGAATCTACTCAACTCTCTTCATTTATTGTCATTACAAATTCTAAGCCCTTGCTACATTCAATTAGAAAAACCAATGGAAAAGCACCACACATTAAATCATCTCTATTATATTACATTCTGGTGCATTCTGTAACTTCAGGGCTATTGCAAGTCCTTAGGGAAGCAAAGCATTTTAATGCGTTTGTAAGAATTACTCATAATTAGCATGTAAATTGTTAGAATAAATTATTTATTTTTTTTTACATAACTGAAAATATTCTCCTCTAATGTTTAAATATTTTATCTGGACATTTGTACTTGCAATTATTTTGCTTTCAGTTTTTTGAAGCATAGACAACTTTATTTTGAATTATTTTTTATGTATATATATATATATATATATACACACACACACACACATACACACACACACATACACACACACACACACACACACACATATATATATATAAAATTTAGTGGAGTTCCCAGTTTGTAAGCCACTGGTAGATCAGTCATTCTTAAAAAGGAAATTGATTATGAGACAGAATTTTTCTAGCGTTTGAAGAATATAAATCTTAGGATCTTAAAGATGGCTAGAAAAGTGTTTTCACAGTAATTTATAAAAGTGAAGGCGCTTATTTTTCCTGTTAAATGATTTTTGCTTTGTGAATTACAGAAGTTCTTCAGTTGTAATTGGTAATATTTTAGAGTGTTTCTTCTTAAAAATCATTCTTAATTTTTATTAGCAATAAATGCTGCTCAGTGTTTTGAGGCATTTAAAAAGGAATTTTAAATTGTAAAAGACTATACATTTAAAATGCCCTCCTAAAACCTGATGCTTTTGTTTTTACTTAATGCATGATATAGTCTGGTAAATTTCTTCTCTTGCATAAGAACTCTCATGGAAATGAAAATACTGTAGTATGGCTAGGGATAGCCAGAGCCTAAAGTAAAATAAGAGGCATAGTATAATAGGAATAGGCTTGTCTAAAGAAGGAAGCCAATTATAACAAAATGAGAGAAACCTCAGTTGTAGTTTATATTTTCCACAAATATCTAATGGAATAGAAGCACTCTATTCATCTCAGAAGAAACTGAAATATAGCTCTTTAAAGGAAGGACTAAATTTTTCAACCTACATAACTCGTGGAAACAGCTTCTTCTATCTCCTTCTGTCTTTCTGTGATACGGTCCATCCAGCTGCTGAAATAGAATGCCTTCTGGAAATTAAACCCCACATGGCTCAGACCATAGCAGTAAATCTGGTGCAACAGATGGTCCTGGGTGAATTGTTACACCTCTGCATAAAACCTTGGGATTTCATTAATAAGATTTGTCCTAAGTAATGGAAATCAGAATGACAAATTAACAGCAAACCTTTCATGCTTTTACCAAAAGAGCATATTATTGTTTCTTTTATTGTCTAATTCTAAGCAAGCTAAAATTATGCTATATGTCAAATATCAGGAATACACATATATGTGCACTCAATTATAGCCTCTTCTCCACTCAGACATTAAGCTGTGATTAATTAAGACAATAGTTCCACATCTCAGTAAGATTTTCCAGCGAAATTTCAGGAATTATATGCTGATAAGCTTTTGCTTTTTAAAATTTAAAGTTATTATAATTTCACATAAAGTAAGTTTTGTTGGTTTCTGCATTTGACATAATTCAGTATTTTTATTTGTTGTTTCATGGGGAGAAATAAGAGAACAACGTTGTTCAATGTCACAGTACTATGAGTATGGATCCTTGTTCTACCTTTCAGATCTAATCACTGTCCTTTGAAACATTCACAATTCCATGCTTTCATAACTACATTTGTTATTTATAAATTGCTGAAAATACAGGGGGCTGAAAAAGACAGATATAGTTTTTTATTTGTGTGGATTTTTAATTGTAGCAGAGAAGACATGCAATAACAAATATCCAGGCCAGGCACGGTGGCTCACGCCTGTAATCCCAGTACTTTGGGAGGTCAAGGTGGGTGGATCACGGGGTCGAAAGATTGAGACCATCCTGGCCAATGTGGTGAAACCTTGTCTTACTAAAAATAGAAAAATTAGCTGGGAGTGGTGGCGTGCACATGTAGTCCCAGCTACTCAAAAGGCTGAGGCAGGATTGCAGTGGGCCAAGTTTGCACCACTGCACTCCAGCCTGGCAACAGAGTGAGACTCCATTTCAAAAAACAAACAAACAAACCCAAATATCCAATTAGTTATCTAATTACACTTGTAGTAAGGGATTAAAGAGCTCATGATGGGAGAATTTGACCTAGCTGGAGAGGGATTGAGAGACTGGGAAGCTTTCCAAATTTGTTAAGTAAATGTTTGCAGATCTGAATGCATCATCAATCAATCTGTGTCTTGAATAATGGGTAGGAGTTAGCCTAGAGAAAGGTTTGTGTATGGAGGGAGACCTGGAAAGGGAAATAGAGCTTGAAGGAATCTGGTGACAGCAGACTAACAAAGGAGAGAGTGGTTTTCTCCTCATGGTTAGTTGAGGGACCTATCAACAAAAGAGTCAAACTCTGTAAAATATTTCAAGATGTTTATTCTGAGCCAAATCTGAGGACCGAAAACATGTGCCCAAGGTGGTTACGGCTTGATTTGATACAGTTTATGGGGACAGAAGTTACAGAAGTTACAGCAGACATCCATCAGTACATATAAGGTATATATTGGTTTGGTCTGGAAAGGCAAGACACTCAAAGTGGGAGCTTCTAGGTCATAGGTGGATTAGAAGATTTTCTGATTGGCAATTGGTTGCATGAGTTAAGTTATTAGCTGAAAACCCGGACTCAATAAAGGAGTTTCTGGATTAAGATAAGGGATTGAAGTGATAAAGTTTCTTATTATGCAGATGTGCCTCCAGGTAGCAGGCTTCAGAACTCTTATTAGACCTAAAAAAAATGCCAGACTCTTAGTTAATTCTCTCCTAGATTAGGAAAAGACCTGGAAAACAAAGGAGATTTTGTATAGAATATAGATTTTCCCCACAAGAGACAGCTCTGCAGGAGACAAATACATTTCAAAATATGTCAAAGGAATATATTTTGGGGTAAAATACTCCCATTTCCTTCAGGGTATGCTGTCTGTCATGTAATTCTATACTGGAGTCAGGTTGGAATTTGATACCTTATTTCTACAAAGAGTCTGTTTTGTCAGTCTTAAGATCTGTTTTAATGTTGATTCTAGAAAGTGTGACTGAATTCCAAAGGGAGGAGGGTATAATGAGGCATGTCCAATCCCTTCCTTCCCATCATTGCCTGAACTAGTTTTTCAGGTTGACTTTGGAATGCCCTTGGCCAAGAGGGGCATCCATCAGTTGACCAGCAGGCTTAGAATTCTCTATTTGGTTTACACATCCATGGTCACACAGGTAAATATAACAGTGGTTTGGACTCAATCTGTCAAACCTCTAAGTTTTTTTTTTTTTCATACTCCACGCCTTTTCCCTGTTAGACCTCAAACCATGCTTAAATGATTGATTTGATCTTCATTGGCAGCTTTTCTTTTCTTTTCTTTTTTTTTAGGTTGTGTAGCTAATGTATTTTTTTTGTTGTTGTTGTTGCAGATTTTTTTGTCATAAAATAGTTTTGTATTTTAATTTAGATTTATGGTCATTTCTATTACTTATGAAAGTAAGTTGCTATTCATGTGTTTAGCATTATTCTGTTTTGTTTTTCAGCGTTCCAACATTCCAGAGCCTTCCTGAAGAGATCCTTAGCAAGCTCGCTGATGTCCTGGAAGAGGTAATTGTTTTTAGTGTTTGAACTTTTTGAGATGGGACCCAGTCTGCTTGGCTGGCTTCTTTCACAGCTGTCCGATGAGGAATCACAAACTACAAAGACAGTTAAAGTGTTTTTTTTTTTTAAGTTCTGGGATGAGCTATGTATTTGACTTCATATAGAAAGCAGTTTAGCACGTCTGACATTTATACACAGAAATGTGCAAATCAACCTAATTACAGAGTGAGACAAACTTTTTGTTGTGGTAAATACCATGTTACTTTGACTTACAAGAATAGAAATTGGCATATTTCTCTTATTTTAACTAGTGTAAAGTAAAATTATAGTTATTGCCACTCTGAAGCTTCAGATTAGCAAATTTGCAACAGGAATTAGTAGTTGGGTACATGCATATTTGATACAAATAATTTTATGCTTGAAAGTAAAATATCACTTTTAGTTGTTTTTCTCTGAACCTATAAAGCTATAGTTTTGAGAAAGAAGAGAAACAATGCACATTAGTCTGTTCTGCATACTGGACTTCATAACAGCAGCAGCAGGAGGAAGTTTTTCCATTCAAACTGATGAGCTTTATAAGGAATGTAGTCTAAAGTTGTTCTCCTAAAGGTATTGGGCATGGAAGTTTTGTTTCAGGTTCAAAAGATTAAAAAAATTACCTTTTCCTGTTTGCTGACGAAATAGAGATGCATTGGTGGTATGGGAAAGTTCAACCTTTTGCTCTTAAGTTTCAAGTCTAAGTCTTTTGGAATGAATTGACAATAGCAAGATTAACAGAAGAACGTGTCATACAGGAATGGTGTATGGGGAGGTCATCATGGCAGAATTGGAGGATGAGGTCAGAAAAAGGCGTGTCTAGAGTGCTATAGGAGCAGGCAAGTAATGGAAGGCCACTTAGGACATGGCAATTAATTTACTTTTACTTGGAGTGAGATAGAAGCCATTGGATGGCTCTAAGCACAGCAATGAAATTATTTGACTCAGATTTTTAACAAAATTGTGTGGCTGCTGTGTTAAAAAAAAAAAAATAAAGAGGCTGCTGCAATAATCCAGGGAGTAATGGTGACTTTGTTCACTGTGGGAGAAGGAGATTGAAAAATAGTCAGATTGTGACTATATTTTGAAAGTAAAGCTGAAAAGCTTTACTGTTGCAGTGAACTTGTAAAATGAAAGAATGAGAGGAATCAAGCAGAAACCCTGAGGTTTCTGCTGTAAATAACTAGAAGGATGAAGTTGTTATTTTTTGTTTATTTACTTTGAGATGGAGTCTTGCTCTGTCACCAGGCTGGAGTGCAGTGGCTGGATCTTGGCTCACTGCAACCTCCGCCTCCCAGGTTCAAGCGATCTCCTGCCTCAGCCTCCCGAGTAGCTGGGACTACAGGTGCAAGCCACCATGTCCAGCTAATTTTTGTAGTTTCAGTAGAGTCAGGGTTTTATCATGTTGGCCAGGATGGTCTCCATCTCCTGACCTCATGATCCACCCTCCTCAGTCTTCCAAAGTGCTGGGATTACAGGCATGAGCCACAGTGCCCAGCTGGAGTTGTTATTAATTAACATGAAGAAGACTGGAAGAGCAGTACATTGAGGTGGAGAGATAAGAAGCTCAGGGAGAGAGGATGGGGTAAAATTGGAAGCTTAGAGATCTTTGGTAGGTAGATGGTTTGTTGTAGCATTTTTTGTGTGGAGGGAGCTGTTGGCTATCTGAATATCATTCTGTGGGACCAAATGTAGATGAATACAAGGCAGAACCCTGAAGGAGGGAACACCCAACAATTATTATAAAACCATGAATGGATCTCAAAAACATGCTGAGAGAAAAGCTTAAAAAACAAACAAGAGATAGTTATTAAAACATCATTTACATATATGAAAGTATATGAGCACAACATTTTGCTGAGACTCATGACAAACAAAATATGGAAAATGGGTTACATGTGAACTGTGGCCTATAACAGAAAAGGGAAGGGAGATCTATAGGAATAAAAGGGAACAAATGAATGAATGAATGAATGAATGAATGAAGAGGAAGCCATAGAGTAAAGCCTTGACTGATTCTTCACATTTCTACTTTAAGAGACTGAGGAATGAAGAGGAACCAGGAAAGCCTGTGGAAGTAGGAGGAAAATCAGGAACATTTTTGCATGTTATAATCCCAGAGGAGAAAATAGCTTAGAGAAGAATCAGCAAAACTTGGGTTTTAATTTAGGTGAAAAGATTAGGAGAGAAATGGGATCAGCAGGTAGGAAAGTCAGGTTGAGAGAAACAAAGAAAATATTATTGAAGCAGGAGACAGAGAGGTTTGCATATATAGCCCTTTGAGTAAGCACAAAAGCGTAGGCGCTCTAGTGCCTCTAGAAACAGGGAAGGCAGACAATCTGGATGCACATGCAGGTAGGTGGATTGATGTAGTGGCTGGAGCTGTGGAAAGCCTGTTCTGATATATTCTATTTTCATAGTGATACAGAAAGCAAGGTGATCAAATGAGACTGGGGATGAGGTAGAGGTACAAATGGTTTGAGGAAGAAGGTATGAGAAAAATGGAAAAGTAAATGGAATATGGAAACTCAATATGATTGCGAGGCATCATTAAGGCCCTGCTTGATGTTAGCAATCCCAAACCTAAGTTAAACAGGCAATGAAGCATTTTTCAAGACTGTTGCAATAGGGGAAGGAGATTCAACTCCATGGAACAAAAGGTAGAAGAGCTTTTAAGCACTGGAGTGAGCTAGTTGAAAGTCCTATAGCAGAACTCCAGTGGGGGAACTCTAGGAGGGAGGCAGTTGTTCATTAAGATTAGGCCATCTGTGTTTGCTGTTCATCTCTTGTGGAAGTTAGGCTCCCATCCTCCCAAGAGACTGAGGGAAAAGGAACCTGTCTCCTTCTAAGATTGCAATTCAAAAGGATGGCCCTAGGGTCTTTGAGAAAGACATTCCTGGGTTATAAAATCAACTGGGAGAAGATTTCCATCTCAAAGAGGCAGATTAAGAATTTTCAGTTGAAAGTTTTTAAAAATAAGTACTCTAAGTAAAGGGAAATCAGTAGCTTTGAGTCAGGAAGCTGTCTGAACTAAAGCTGAGTCAAAAGTTTAGTCAAACTGAGGAGAATATTGAGCCCTCTTGGACACAAGAATACTTGATTAAGTATCCATTTTTTAGCTTCATTCATTTACCTGGATTAACTTTCCAGGTAGATATAGAATTAAATTTAAACAAGATTGTTATTTTGCCTAGAGAAGATGGATGGTTGATAGAGGGAATGGGGAGTTTGTGCATATGGAGAGTGTAGCGATTGACCTTGGAATTTAAACAGGGCAAGGAGGAGAGGAGCACCAGATGGGCAGTAGTCAGTGAGAGGTGGTAGGATCAGTGACTTATAGTCTCATGACGTTAAAGAATTTCTGGAGTAGGGTTATAAAAAGGGATAAGTTGGAAAGATAGTGAAAAGGCATTTGTCTCTAGGTACTGACTATACCAGTAATTCTGTGATCCATATACAGATTCTTAGCTGGTAGCTTATTGAAGTCAGCTTTGCTGTGACTTACTGGTCTCCTTCATCTATGTGAAAATAAAGTAAAGCAGAACATTGTCACATTTGACTCTTATGTTCAAGAATGAAAAATTTATGAGAAAAGGTACTGGCTGTATTTCTCTCTGAATGTGCTGACCTGTAACCTCTGTAAATATAAAACTACTTTTCCCAGTTGGTCTTTTGCCTTTTGCTTTTTTTATTGAATACACTGAAGATCTCTCTGGTGACACTGTGTTCTTGGTTTTAAATCGAACTAAAGCACAAATTTATTAGCCCCAATCAACCTCCTAAAAAAAGAAAGAACAACAACAAAGCAAAGACCCCATGAAATTCTTTAATCATTGTCTTTCTTTTCCACAGCTGTGAAAGTATTTGTTATTTTGTGTAACAAAAGTCATAGCTCTATAAATAATTCTGACCAATGAAATAAATATTTTAGTATTTTAATGTCAGATTTTCTAATCAGAAGATGCCTTAATTTATGTTTGGATTGTGTGAGCCACAGTACAGTCCATACCAATGCTGAATTAAAATGGAAGCAGATGATTAAGTACTCATATATTTGTTTTCAGGATGCAAAAATGAAGTAAATACACAAAACACAAACTAGACATGTAAAGATAGTATTCAGTACAAACAAAGTATTTAACTCAAGTTAAACAGGCACAATGAGAAACTAAGTTATGTATCAGATAAAGTGAAGCAAATTTGGAAGATCAGAAGCAATACCGAAGTCACATAACATTAAGGCGAAATGTGCTTGCATAATAATTGAGCTGTCATTCTACAAGTAGCCACAAGAAGATGAAAGAACCCCAGATTATTTTGAAAGGAAAGCACTACCATTATAGCCTTCATCTAAGAAGTTTACAGCTTTGTCTGTTTGACAAGTATTTATGGCACACCTGCCCTGTGCCAGGAATTGTTTCAGGCCCTGGAGATTCAGGGCTCTGCTCTCCCATAGCATGTGTTTGAATGAAGTATACTATGATAAGGAAGGAAGGAGAATAATATCAAGTGAGAAGGCTACTTCTGTAGTTACTAAGGGAAGAACTCTCTGAGGAGGTGATATTTAAACCAAGATCTAAGTGAATGTATGGGGAACCATGTGTATCTGGTGGAGGAAAGAGCAGGCATACCATTTTAAAGTAGGAATGAGGTTGCTGTCCTTAAGGAACAGAAGGAATATTTGTGGATGATGGTAGTGAGGTGAGAGGAGGCTACAGAAAATTAAGCAGGACCAAGTTGCAGAGGGTTCTGTCAGTCATGATGAAGAATCTGTTTTTTATTCTAAATGTAATGGGGAGATTTTTAGGTTGTAAGTAGTAAAGAGACAGTGACATAATCTGAGTTATGTTTTAATAACATCTCTCTGACTATCGTGAGAAGAATGGATTACTGAGAGACAGGCCAGTTAGAGGGCTACTGCAGAATAACTCAGGTGAAGGTGAATGGCTTGCATGTGGACTTATTTCTTA